GAACCCCCTTCCCCTCCCCCATTTCTGAAGAAGGGTCTAGGCCCGAAACGTCAGCTTTCCTGCTCCACTGACGCTGCTTGGCCTGCTGTGTTCATCCAGCTCTACACCTTGTTATAACCGATAGCTATATAACCACCACCTATTTGCTGCTCAGATCTTTATTGATGCCGTTGCTACCTTCAGCCCTGACTATTCCAATGCTCTCCTCACTAGTCTCTCACTTTCCACCCTCTCTAAACTTCAAACCATCTCAAACTTTGTTGCCCAGAATCTAAACTGCAGCAAGTCAAATGCATTTATCTCCCCCATGCCTGCTGAACCTGAGGCAGAGACAGAAACCATAGCCCCCTTCCCTGACCCAAGCACAGCAGGCTATAGCTCCAGTTATTGGGCCCAAATGTATTCCCCGATCCCACACCCTGCCCTCCATCACCAGCAGAGATTCAGACTAAACATCCTCATTCTTGTGTTCACATTCCTTCATGGCCTCCCTCCTCCTTCTCTCTGTAACATTGCTTTGTCCAATAACCCTTCAAAATCACACACTACTCTCATTCCAGCCCTTTGCATATCCTTGATTTTCATTGTTCCTGCATTGGTTATTGGGTCTATAGCTACGTAGGTCCTGAACTCTGGAACTCCATCCTGTTTAGACTGTTGTTAATAATTTCAATGTTAACCATGGGTTTGCTATCTAGTGTCAGAGGTACCAGTGAGACATCTCCATGGGAACAGTTCCTAGCTATTGGTTATAACAAGGTGTAGAGCTGGATGAACACAGCAGGCCAAGCAGCATCATAGGAGCAGGAAAGCTGATGTTTCAGGCCTAGACCCTTCTTCAGGAAGTGGGGAGGGGAAGGGGGTTCTGAAATAAATAGGGAGACAGGGGGAGGCGGATAGAAGATGGATAGAGGAGAAGATAGGTGGAGAGGAGACAGACAGGTCAAAGAGGCAGGGATGGAGACAGTAAATGTGAGTGTAGGTGGGGAGGTAGGGAGGAGATAGGTCAGTCCGGGGAGGACGGACAGGTCAAGGGGTGGGATGAGGTTAGTAGGTAGGAGATGGGGGTGGGGCTTGAGGTGGGAGGAGGGGATAGGTGGGAGGTAGGACAGGTTAGGGAGGTGGGGACGAGCTGGACTGGTTTTGGGATGAGGTAGGGGGAGGGGAGATTTTGAAGCTTGTGAAATCCACATGGGAACCCTGCAGCCCAATGGTATCAAAGTGAAATATGAGTTGCTGTTCCTGCAACCTTCGGGTGGCATTGTTGTGGCACTGCAGGAGGCCCAGGATGGACATGACGTCTGAGGAATGGGAGGGGGAGTTGAAATGGTTCGCGACTGGGAGGTGCAGTTGTTTAGTGCGAACCAAGCGTAGGTGTTCCACAAAGCGATCCCCGAGCCTCCGCTTGGTTTCCCCAATGTAGAGGAAGCCACAATGGGAACAGCGGATGCAGTATACCACATTAGCAGATGTGCAGGTGAACTTCTGCTTGATGTGGACGTCCAGTCCCTATACACCTGCATTCCCCATACAGAGGGCCTAAAGGCCCTCCACTTCTTCCTGTCCCGCAGGCCCGACCAGTCCCCCTCCACTGACACCCTCATCTGCTTAGCCGAACGCATCCTCACCCTCAACAACTTCTCTTTCAATTCCTCCCACTTCCTACAGAAAAAGGGGTGGCAATGGGTACCCGCATGGGCCCAAGCTATGCCTGCCTCTTTGTAGGTTATGTGGAACAATCCCTCTTCCGTACCTACACTGGCCCTAAACCCCACCTCTTCCTCCGTTACATTGATGATTGTATCGGCGCTGCCTCGTGCTCCCACAAAGAGCTTGAACAGTTCATCCACTTCACCAACACCTTCCACCCCAACCTTAAGTTCACCTGGACCATCTCTAATACCTCTCTCTCCTTCCTGGACCTCTCTGTCTCCATCTCCGGCAATCACCTAGAAACTGATATCCATGTCAAGCCCACCGACTCCCACAGCTACCGAGAATACACCTCCTCCCACCCACCTTCCTGCAAAAATGCCATTCCCTATTCCCAATTCCTTCACCTCCGCCGCATCTGCTCCCAGGATGAGGCATTCCACTCCTGTATATCTCAGATGTCCTCGTTTTTCAAGGACCGCAACTTCCCTCCCCTCAGTGGTCGAGAACGCCCTCAACCGTGTCTCCCACATTTCCTGCAACTCATCCCTCACATCCCCTCCCCGCAATAACAACCAAAAAAGAATCCCCCTCGTCCTCACGTATCACCCCACCAACCTCCGGATCCAACGCATCATCCTCCGACACTTCCGCCATCTGCAATCTGACCCCACCACCAAAGACATCTTTCCCTCCCCACCCTTATCTGCTTTCTGGAGGGATCACTCTCTCCGTGACTCCCTTGTCCACTCCACACTCCCCTCCAGCCCCACCACACCCGGCACTTTTCCCTGCAACCGCAGGAAGTGCTACACGTGCTACACCTGCCCCTACACCTCCCCCCTCACCCCCATCCCAGGCTCCAAGAAGACTTTCCACATCAAGCAGATGTTCACCTGCACATCTGCTGATGTGATATACTGCATCCGCTGTTCCCATTGTGGCCTCCTCTACATCGGGGAAACCAAGCGGAGGCTTGGGGACCGCTTTGCAGAACACCTACGCTCGGTTCACACTAAACAACTGCACCTCCCAGTCGCGAACCATTTCAACTCCCCCTCCCATTCCTCAGACGACATGTCCATCCTGGGCCTCCTGCAGTGCCACAACAATGCCACCCGAAGGTTGCAGGAACAGCAACTCATATTCCGCTTGGGAACCCTGCAGCCCAATGGTATCAATGTGGATTTCACAAGCTTCAAAATCTCCCCTCCCCCTACCGCATCCCAAAACCAGTCCAGCTCGTCCCCGCCTCCCTAACCTGTTCTTCCTCCCACCTATCCCCTCCTCCCACCTCAAGCCGCACCCCCATCTCCTACCTACTAACCTCATCCCGCCCCCTTGACCTGTCCATCCTCTCCGGACTGACCTATCTCGTCCCTACCTCCCCACCTACACTCACATTTACTGTCTCCATCCCTGCCTCTTTGACCTGTCTGTCTCCTCTCCACCTATCTTCTCCTCTATCCATCTTCTATCCGCCTCCCCCTGTCTCCCTATTTATTTCAGAACCCCCTTCCCCTCCCCCATTTCTGATGAAGGGTCTAGGCCCGAAACATCAGCTTTCCTGCTCCTATGATGCTGCTTGGCCTGCTGTATTCATCCAGCTCTACACCTTGTTATCTCAGATTCTCCAGCATCTGCAGTTCCTACTATCTGTGATACAAGTCGTGTACAAGGATCTGTCATCAGACAAAATCAATTAAACATTACAGTGTTTATAAGAGGCAGAGGTCTCTGGAGGCAATTGGGACTCGGGCCAGCAAAGGTTTTCACCTACAATGATGGAGAGAGACGGGAGAGAGAGAGAGAGAGAGAGATAGAGATGGACAGACAAATGGACAGATGTCTTCAGGAGGCGATAGGGAATGGGACTGGAGGGAAAGCTGAGATCGGGAAGAATCAAGGTTTCTAGAATGAGGCCCTTCACTTGCTCAAGGTCACAAGGTAAACCTGAAGTTTAATCTTTGAAATTTATCTCAGTCATCACTGACATTGTCTCAGTGAGAAAACAATTGTGGATAACAGATGTCATTTCTTTCAACCTGAAGCACTTTATAAATCCAAGTTTTTTTTTAAACACCCCTAGGGAGAGATTTGTACAGAAATGACACTTACTTGCTTTGCAGCTCAGCACAATTTGTAGATTAAAAGTTCTTGAAATGTTCAGCACAAAGCCAGAAGTCATTGATGAGAAAGCTAGCTAGTTCCACGCCTTCATATGGGGAATCAAACTGTAAACAGCTTTCACATTTTTAATGAATATAGGTTTACAGCTGTACGTATCAGATGACACTTAAGATTCTTAACTGAAATCAGCTGATGTCTCACAATCCTGCAGATGTTGGAGATCTAAAATAAAAACAGAAAATGCGGGAAATAGCAGATCTGACTGTATTTATGACGAGGGAATGAGTGTTAAAATTAGGTCCACGAATCTCTATTAGAACTGACAAAAAGGTGAATAATCTGAAACACCAACTCTATTTCCATCCCTCCACAGATGCTGCCAGTGTTTTCTGTTTTTATTTCAGTTTGGTCTCGACTCGTTAACACAGAGAAAAATGTTGTTTTAATGATAATTTTCTAATAATCAATCACTTAGCATTAACATTGTGAGCTAGTCTATTTAAAACAGCAAACGTGTCATAGGTTTTGAAGTAGATGTTACAGCAAGATAACTGATTTCTGCATATGCACCTTGCAGACCCACAGTCGAGTAATTGCCAGGCAGAGTCACAACATTGATTCACACAGTACATGGAATCCTTAAAGGTGAGCTCTCTTAAAGGCAAGGTACACATACAACAAAAATAATTTGACCAACACAGGCCCAGGGTCCATTAGGTTTGACAAAATTTGAGGGATAGGGAAGGGAATGTGGGTGGGATGAGGAACGTCACATGTCCAGAGTAATGTATTTCCCCTTCATTTGGGACTGGAAAGGCTGCATTCTGTTCAAAGATGTCAAGTTTAACATGTAACATCCATTTGTTCCTGACATGGACAAATCACCAGGACCACCTGCCAGACCACTGTGCGGAAAATTCATTGGCAAGCAATGAGCAGAGGGGGGCTGCAATGGTCCAACCAATTTCTGGCCAGGTGTCATGGGCATCTCAAAGCTGCAGCTGGCCCTCAGCCAAAGTCACCTGAGCTTCAACGGTTTCCTCTCAATTTCAGGCTTCAGATAAACCAGCCCCTCTATCCTCCCTTCTGCACCTGACTCCATTGGTAAAATTATATCCCTGGATCATTTCTCCTATCCAATTTCATCCTCATCTTTCTTTCCTGTCTGTACTATATCATGTTATTTTTTAAATGCGCCATTCCCTCTCACCCCTTACCTGAAGCAGACGCCTTCCCATGTGCTTTGCAAACATGTCTTTCTGGTAGAAATTGGGGTCTTCTTTAACACCAGCTTTTTCATATTTAGTCTTCTCTGTAAAGGCTGAGTAACTAGACTTCTGCAAATAAATACAGATCTCTAGCATATGAAAACACAGGAAATGTTTTAAGGATCATTGAGGTTATAACACGTCAAAGATTTATCAGGTCTCACACTACTCCATTACCAATGGAAGAATTTGAGAAAATAAGAAGTTTGTGCTCTTAAGTGGATGTAAAACTAACCTTTAATTGGAGGTGGGCAAGGGGGCAATGATAATCCTGGCATCATGATTAGTTGCCATGGTAATTTGGCTGAAAGGGATTAGACAGGTGAATGGTACGGCATGGACAACCAGCCCCCAAAGTGAGGTATGTGGAACGTTGGCCTTTATTTCAAGGAGATTGGAGTATAAAAGTAGGAAAGTCTTACTGCAACTGTACAAGGTGCTGGTGAGACCACTCCTGGAGCACTGTGAGCAGTTTTGGTCCCTTATTTAAGGAAAGATATCATTTCATTGGAGGCAGTTCAGAGAAGGTTCACTAGGGTAATTCCTTGTGTGGAGGGATTAGTTTATGAGCCAAGACTAAATAGGTTGGGATTTTACTCACTGGGGTTTGGAAGATTGAGAGGTGATCTCATTGAAATATATGGGATTCTTGAGGGGCTTGACAGGGTGAATGCTGAGAGGATGTTTCCCCTCATGGGAGCATCTAGCACCATAGGGCATAGTCTCAGAATTAAGGGGCACCAATTTAAGACTGAGATGAGGAAGAATTTCTTCCCTGAGAGGGTAGTGAGTCTTTGAAAATCCTTGCAATAGAGAACTGTGGGGACAGAGACCCAATATATACTTGAGGCTAGGATAGATAGATTCTTGATCAGACAGGGAATCAAGGGGAAAATGCAGGAAAGTGGACATGAGGAATGTTGAATCAGCCATGGTCCTATTGAATGGCAAACAGCCTACTTCTCTTCCCATGTTTTATGGTCTTGCGGTCTAACAGGGGTAGGCAGGGAGATAGATAAGCAAAAGGATCCAAGAGAATGAGCCACCATCTTCAGTGTGATTTGTACAAGATGGTGAGTGGACAAATGTACGGCAGATGCATACAATACAGAAAAAATGTTAGGTTATCAACTTTTGTCGCTAAACAGGAAGGCAAATTATTATCTGATTGCTGATAGATTGAGAAAGGGGCAGATATAACAAGACCTGGGAGTCCTTGTACAGCAGCCACTGAGTGTAAGCATACAGGTGCAGCAGACAGTGAAGAAACAAATGGTATGTTGGCCTTCCTAGCGAGAAGATTCGAGTACAGGAGCAGGGATGTCTTGCTGCAATTGTATAGGGCCTTGGTGATACCACACCTGGAGTATTGCGAGTAGTTTTGGTCTGGTTATTTGAGGAAAGATATTCTGGCTATGGAAGGAGTGCAACAAAAGTTTACCAGACTGATTCCTGGGATGGCAAGACTAACACATGAAAAGAGACTGGATTGGTTAGGACTACATTCACCGGAGTTTAGAGAATTTGGTCGGGGGGGAATCTCACAGAAACCTACAAAATTTTAACAGGACGAGACAGGGTGAATGTTGGAAGAATGTTCCTATTGACCAGTGAGTCCAGAACGAGGGGGTCACAGTCTAAGGATATGGGATAGGCCATTTAGGACTGAGATGAGAAGAAATTTCTTCACTTAGAGAGTGGTGTGTCTGTGGAATTCTCTGCCACAGAAAGCAGTTACTTGAGGCCAAAATATTGAATGTTTTCAAGAAGGATTTAGATAGAGTTCCTAAGGCTAAAGGGGATCATAGGGTATGGGGAGAAAGTGGAAACAGGGTACGGAGTTGGATGATCAGTTATGACTATATTGAATGGTGGAGCAGGTATGAAGGGCGGAATGGCCTACCCCACTTCCTATTTTCTGTTACTTGGAAGAAGAACAGGAAGGGCAACCTGAGAAAAGAACAAAGACTGTTGCTACCAACTGGAGACTATAAGGCATCACGGATGTACAGTCCACTACACCTAAACCTTAGGAGACTAGTACCCTGCTCCTTCATTCCACAGGATGGCTTTGGGATTAGTAAAGTGTTCTCATCTGCCTGGGTCAAATACTTCTTTTATTTGCCTTATTAACTGATATATCATATCTAGACTGCTGCATCCTAAGCAACTCAATAAACTCAGAAAATTGCTCCAAATTGTCAAAGGCATAAATTAGCTAATTGTGATCACAAAAACCCCCTAAATTCAATATTTCCCCAGGTCACTATCCCTATATTTCCCTCTGCTTCTCAACTGAAGCAGTGAGCAAGGTTGCCCCCTATATAGATTCTACCGTGTTGAGGGTTTTTTTAAAAATTCATTCGTGGGACATGGGCATCACTGGCTGGTCAGCAATTATTGCCTGTTGTAGTTGCCATTGAGAAGGTGGTGGTGGGCTGCCTTCTTGAACCGCTGCAGTCCATCTCCTGTAAGAAGACCCAAATACTGTTAGGAAGGGAGTTACAGGATTTTAACCAAGCAACATTGAAGAAAGAGCAATGGTTGAATTCAGGTATTACATTTTTCTCACTACAAGTTCTCAATTCTACTGCCATGAGCACTATGCATTGAGTAACACACATGAAGTAAGAAATCTGGGATATTCCATCTCAGGCTTCCCTGAAGGTATGCCCAGCAAGTTAGGAAAGTTCCATCATAGACTTCCTAGTTAAATTTCTTTCATTGATCCATAGGATGTGGGGGTTGATGCAAGATCAGCATTTGTTGCCCATTCCTCTTTGCTCTGAAACAGAATAGCTGGTTCGGCCACTTCAGAGGGCACGTCAACCATATCACTGTGAGTCTGGAGTCATATGTAGGCCAGACCATGGTATATTTCCTCCCCTGTAAAGGACTTAAGCGAACCAGATGGCCTTTTACAACAATTGGCAATTGTCACATGCTCACCATTATACTAGCTTTTCATTCCAGCTTCTTTGATTTTAAATTTCACAGTCTGCCACAGTGGGATTTCAACTGGGTCTTTGCAGCAATTGAAAATGGTCTCATGGTCACCAGTACTGAAACTAGCATTTAATTCTAGTTTTTATTTTTGTTAGATTAATTTGAATGCTTTTTTTGGAGGGATTTGAACCCATATTTCCAGTATTAGCTTGACTTACTGGGTTACTACTTCAGTGCCAGTACCATTGTGCTACTAGCCCCCCTGAAAACTGAAATGTGGTACAGTATTAGACAAGAGCGAGAGGGTCCCCATGACTGGCCTATTGGAAAATCTGATCGGTATTTTTCACTATCTTGGCTTGAATTTGAGTGACTGCTTTCACTAAGTGCCAAGAGGATTGCTGGTAAGGATAGTGTCACATAAAAACTGAAAGAACTGAGCAAGGGTCAACGAACCCAAAACGTTAACTCTGATTTTTTCTCCACAGATGCTGCCAGACCTGCTGAGCTTTTCCAGCAACTTTGTTTATTTGTGTGTGTGGATAGTGCCACACTTCAGCACAATTTGCACCATCAAAAAGGGACAGAGTAAAGTTGGTCATGTGACATATGCCATTTAATTGTTTGACTGCATTGGCTATGCTAATATCACAATGGTTTCTTGGGTCTCATACCATCTCCACAAGATAGTGAGAGGCTATTGTCTGACAAAGACTGAATGTTTGCGAAGCATACAGAGGCTGATTGGCCCAGAAAAGGAGCTACACACTGAAGTAAAAACAGAAGTTGCTGGAAAATCTCAGCAGGTCTGGCAGTATCTGTAGAGAAAAAATCAGAGTTAACGTTTCGGGTCGGTGGCCCTTCCTTAGGCGTTCTGATTTTTCCTTCACAGATGCTACCAGACCTGCTGAGCTTTTCTGGCAACTTCTGTTTTTGTTCCTGATTTATGGCATCCGCAATTCTTTCAGTTTTTAGTAATCCCATTTTCCAATGTTGGTCCAGAGGATAGGGCACATTAAGTGCACACTTGAGAATTTTTTTTGTAACTGGTAAAGTTTTCTGCCTTGGCTTCCAATTCAGGGATGATAGTGTCACCTTGGTATTATTACCAGATTAGTGGTTCAGGCTGACGGTTTGGGGACATGGATTCAAATCCAACACAGCAATGGCGACATTGAGATTCACACAGTAAAATCTGGAATTAAAGAACTTAACTCAGTAATAATGACCATGAAATCTGTCGTAAAAATCATCTGGTTTCACTCGCGGCTTTTGGGGAAGGAAACCTGCTGTCCTTACCTGGACTGGTTTACATGTGACTGCACACCTACAACAATGCAGTTGACTCCTAATTACCCTCTGAAATGGCCCTAGCAAGACAGTCATTACAAGGGCAATGTATACTGGCAATGCCCACATCTCGTGAAGGAATAAGTTTTTTAAAAAAGTTAGCAGATTCCAGATCCCCATCAGTCTCAGGAGAAAATACTCTCAACTCACCTTTCACCAATTATTTTAAACCTTCACTGCCTGTGTATTGACCTCTTCTACGAAGGTAAGTAAGTCCTTCCTATCCGTTCTATGTCAGCACCTGATTATGTCATATATGATTTTATTCACTGCTGGCAATAAATGACTCAAATATCACTTTGTGAATTCCATATTATTGTGACGTGACTGTTTTATTGCGTATGTGGATCGTAAAATTGCTGGCAGCAAGGCAAAGAGTGGGAAACCTATTTTTTTTGTCATTTTTAAAAATCATATGCTTTTACATGTGTGGTTTATAATATCATCTGAAGTGCTCAATTAGTTTAATGGCATGAATTCCCTCCCATTATTCTATACATACATATATATAAACTGTCTGAAGTCTTGATGAGGTTAATGTCCTTTAATTATTCCCAGGTTTGCTTCAAAGAGAGATTTACATTAGTGCAGTGGCTTTATCAAGTCTTACAGAAGCGTCTTGAGGCGTTCCATGTATAATGAGCCACTTTGAAGTGCAGAGACTGTCACATTGGTGAATGCAGCAGCCAATTTGCTCACAGCAATATCCTGCAAAGAGCAATGAGGTGAATGACCAGTTATCCTGTCTTTGGTCGTGTCTAGAACGAAGTTTA